GGTAGGCATGGGAGAAGAATGTTGCTGTTGCTGCCCCCATCGCACTTGTAATCCTCCACCACCTCTTCCTTCCCCACCATCCGATCCTGAACTCGTTGAGCGGATTCATAAATTGTTAGATTATGTAATCATGAAGGGTCCAGAGTACCATGGCATTGTCCGTGAAGAGGCAGAAAATAATCCTGACTTTGATTTCCTGTTTGGGGGTACCGGACATTATTACTACCATTACATGCTTCAAATGGCTGTACGATAGCCATATGGTAGTTATGTTCCTTTCCATTCTTCTTCTGGGCAAACAAAGATGCAGTAGCCTCCGAATCCAATAACAACCGCTCCATCACCTTTAATTGCTCCCCAGTACAAAGTACAATGCTTCGCATGGGGCCTCGGCATCACTTTTAGGCCCACCTCATCATATGCACCAGCCGGCTCCTTCCCCACCCTCTCATGATTATGAAATTGCCTTTGGAACAACACCACAGCAACCAATAACGACCGCTCGATCCATGGGCTTTCACAAGTATAATGGGATCAGACAATGACATCAAATTTCCAACACCTAAAAAAATGAGCAAACAAAATCAACTTTCAGAAGTATAAACAATGAGACGATAAGGACAACAAAGTTCCAACACTTCCACTATGTTTGGTTCAAGGAATTTGAAAGAAAAAGAAAAGAAAATAGTTTTCCCTCAATTTCATCACCAGAATGGGAGGGATTTGGTTTTTCCCTTTCCTTGGTACTTTTTGTCTTCTCATTTTCTATTACTTCCACTTTTCTTTTATTTTCTTTTCCTCTCTAACCAAACAAGGAAGATGTTTCCTTCTCATTTTCTTTTCCTTTCCCTATCAAATTCTTTGAACCAAACATAGTGCTCATAAAATATAAAGCAAGTAGCCTCTAGTAATGTGATAAAGAGTTCAAAATCAGTCTGTTTATGTACATACATATGGTTTTGATTGAAATATTTGAACAGAAATCAGACTCAATAATGCATTCATCAATAGGCACCAGATAATGTACTGTTTTTAATTTTTTTGCTAGAAAACACCGAATAAAATAGCGAACAAAATTGATTGGGTCACCTGGTGTTGTTGAAGAGGCGAGGCACGCCTGGCAAAAGGCCAGGGGAGCGAAGAGAGGAGGAATTTTCTTCTTCTTCTTTAGCAGTATTTAGACGAAGCCGCCAGCCATTGTAGCTTGCTCGGAAAGCTTTAGGGTTTCCATCTGTGTGGGTGAAGAAGGGAGACGACGGCGTTTAGTTACAACTGTTCCGGCTAATGGATTTTAGAAGGAAGTTAGGGGCTGTTTGGTAACTTCTGAATAGATAAGTGCTGAACCAGTAAGAGGTCTGAACCATTAAGTGCTGAACCAGTAAGAGGTCTGAACCATTAAGAGCTAGTATATTGCTTAACTATTCAGAGGTAAATGTCTGATCAATTCAGATAAGAGGTCTTAACCATTCAGACTCTGCATAATACTTAACCATTCAGAGGCAAATCTCTTAACCATTCAGACATCTGGACCATTAAGAGGCTGAAACAAACAGTCTGAACCATTAAGTGCTGAACCATTCAGACATCTGAACCATTAAGAGGCTGAAACAAATAGCCCCTTAGTAGAGGTTGGGGTTTTAGAAGCTTCTAGAGCGATGATCCCTCCAGACGTACGGTACAGCAACGCCTTTGAGCTGAGTATTGGGCCGTTGTTATCCGATTAGCAAACAAACTTTTGAGTGACTTGGAACTTTTAACTGCATCTTACGAAAAAGAATGGTCTATTCAATATTGATTTTGATGGATTTTTTTGAATTTGAAAACTCAATCGGTATTCAATTGAGATTTTAAAAAGTTATTTAAAATCTAGATGTATTCCTTTTAAATTTTAAAAAAATCTTTCAAAATCTAATGGTATTCAAAAATAGATAATGTACTGTTTTTAATAGTTTAATCCTATTTTGTATTATTAAATCAGAGGCACCAGATGTTTTCAATTTTTTTTCTAGGCAACACCGAATAAAAGAGTAAACTCCCGATATATGTAACATTTTAATACACCATTCCTGGCAGTGCATGTCAGGTATCTTTTTCCTGGCAGTGCAACCCGAAGTTGGCAACTCCGTTTCCTTTTATTTTATTTTTAAAGACGCAGTAGCCTACTTCGTTTGAGTCCAATTATTTGATGACACGGAGTAGCGAAATCCGTTTGGATGGAATAAAACCAAGACGGAGTAGCCAACTCCGTTTGGCCTGACATAATCAGAGACGGAGTAGCGTACTCCGTGTCTCTTCAATTTAGATCTCCGCCCCTCTCCTCTTTTACACAGATCTGAGATCTGTAAAACAAAAAAAAAGGGGCTGCGCTGGGCGTTAAACGACGAGGGAGGGCCGACGGTGCGCGATAAACGACGAGGGAGGGAGGACGCCGGACAACCACACCTTGACCGGAGTCAGCTACTCCGTTTTGAAGCTTGAAGGTATTTTAAATTTTTTTTTTGTTAAATTTGTTCCAATAATTTTGAATTGTGAGAAAATATTAACAAATATATTGTTTAATTTTAAAACTTTGTTATTGTGTAAAATAAATATTTAGACATAGATTGTATGCATAAGTGGTTAGTTCATGATTTTTTAAAATATAATTGTCTTGTTATATTTTTATTAATTGAGTATATTCTTATGTTGTAATCTTTGAAGCAAATGGATGTACATCCGGGACCTATTTTACGCGATGTTTTAGTAATTGAAGCGGGAGACCATAGGTGTGATGCGGTTTGGGCCGAAGAAGAATATGCTAAAAAAGTATTAAAGTGTCACAGGACTTGTACTAGTTTGTATACGAGTACTCT